GTTGCTCTTCCAGGGGTCCTGAGGTTGGTTTCTACACACATGTCAGGTAGCTCACAGCTGCTTATAACTCCAGCTCCAGGAGATAGGATGTCTTTTTCTGGCTTCAGTGAGTACCTGCATACATGCCACACACACACACACACACACACACACACACACACCACACACACACACAGAGACATGCATACATGCCACACAGACACAAAGACATCAATACATGTCACATGCACACAGACACACTTAAAAATACATAAATCTTGTTTAAAAGGTTAATATTTTTGCCCGAAGCCTTTGGTCTTAAAGTCTAGTTTTTGGATTGCCAGGATCCCCAAAAACCTTCTAGGAGAGGTGTGTGATGTCCAGATTAATTTTTACTTAGTGCTAAAAGTACTAAGGTATTGTGGCCGTTTTACCCTCGACGAGGCCATTGATACAAGGATGTCATTTCTCTGGGAATTAAATGTAGTGGATACTTGGATGTTTTGTGTTTTCTAGGCTGTGATAAGTTGAGGGTTGAGGCTGTCATTGTGTGTTTTTAGAAGTTAACTAGCCCATTTTTTGTTCTTAGTATTTCTGGACTCATACCAGTGATTTTCTTTTCCGCTTGCTGTTAGGAATTGTGTCCTGCCCAGACCCTGGCCCCTCCATGTTACTGTTTTTGGAGACAGGGCCTTTAAAGAGACAGTTAAATGACATGTGAGGCCATTTGGGTGGACCCAAGTCCCACTGGCCTGGAGTCCTTAAGAGGAAACTGGAGTCACTCTTGAAGAGACAGGACTAGGAGTCACCCAGAGGAAGGGCCTGTGATACCCCTCGGAAGGTGCTAACCTACAAACCATGGACAGTGGCCTCTGCAGAGACTGAACCCGAATGCTTTGATCTTGAACTTGTAGTCTCAGGAACCTGGAAAATAAACTGGCTACAGAGGCCTTTGGTCTGCGGCACTTTGTTATGGAGGCCCTCACAGACAGCTGTCGGGTGCAGAAGCTCACAGGCTACCTGTCTTCCTTTGAAGCAGACATTAAAGGGATCTGTAAAAATGGAAAACAATGTCCCCTTTTTCCCCTAATTGTGAGGGGTTTATGTTTCTCATATAATACTTTATTGTTTTGTTAATGTGAAATGGGAAGATTGTGTTTAAATAAGTGTATTTTTAAATTCTTAGCTTTATGTTCAAGCATACTAAATGCCAATGTGTGTTTGTTTCTCACACACAGAAGTTCTTGGGGGTCCTGTGTATTCTTTTGGTGTAAAAGGCTCCTGAGACCAGAAGGTTAAAAACTGTATAGTGCTGTGTTATCTTCCCTGTGGGGTCATGCAGATGAGACCGCTGTGGCTTGGATGATCCTGCTCCAAGGGCATGTGTTTAAAAGCTCAGTCGCTAACCAGTGGCGTCTATTAGGAGGGAATGGAACCTTGGGACGTGGGTCTTTCTGGAAGGAGCTAAGGGCACTTGGGGAGGTGTCCTTTAAAAAGACAGTGGGATGCCCAGGCTCCGCCCTCTTTGCTTTCCAGCTGCTCTGAGGTAGTAGGCCCCTCTGCCCCTCTTACTGCAGTGAGCTCTGCTGTCACCCAGCCAAAGCAGCAGGGACCCTCCAAAAGCACAGGACACAGTAAACCTCTCAGAGGCTCTCCCAGGTGTTTGTCACAGTGACACGGAACTAAGGGACACAAGGGTCAGTTCGGAAGGGTTTGCAGCTGTGGATCACATGATACACAAGAGTTCTACCATTGGCCTCCATCCCCAGACCAGAGCATAAACCAGATGAGCTCTCCCTGTCCACTCACATGACTCGCAATCGACAGAGAGCCGTGTTACTTTCCATGCCTGTGTAGTAGTTCTTTGTAGACACTTGTTTGTCTGAGGCGGGGGCTTGCCCTCTTACCCAGGCAGGTCTTACGTCACCTGTGTGGAAATGGCCTTCCTGTTTCAGCCCTCCCAAACCCTGGGACTACAGATTCACACAACACAGGGACCAGCTGTTGATACTGTTTTAAGTTTAACGAGCTGATGATTGATTAATAGTGTCCGAGTTCTCTAAAGGAACAGAACATATATAATATATAAATATTTACATAGAGTATATATGGGAGTTATTAGGATGGCTAACAGGCTTACAGCTATATCCAACAATAGCTGTCATGTCTACCAATGAAAAAATCCAAGAATCCAGTAGGTCTGTCCTCAAGGCAAGATGTCTCAGCCCGTCTTCAGTACACACCAGAATCCCAAAGAAGTCGGCTGGGATCCCAGTGAAGTAATGGACTTGCCAGTGAGAGCAAGGAGAAGACATGTAAAGCCATGTCTTTACATAGGCTGCCCATAAGGTGTGGCCCAGATTAAAGTTGTGTCTTCCCACCTAGAAAGATGCAGCTACAAAGTAGGTCTTGCCACTTCAAATAATTAAGAGAAAAAAACAAACCTCTTACAGGTGTATCCAGCCACTAGGTTTTTAGTTAACTCCAAATGTTGACAACCAAGAGCAAACATCACAAATGAGCGTGGATTGGTTTCTAGATATGCTTGGTACGAACAATTTTGAAGTGAGTATCTTTGTGCAATTATCTTTTTGAACTTACAACATCTAGAAATGAGAATGATGGGAAACAGATTGGGCATTTTCATTAGAAAATTAAGGTTCTCCATATTGTATTGATAAATATAAAATACAACAGAAAAATGTAAGAGACACACGCATCCACGCTATTTAACAAATAAGTTCAGCAGTATCTCCTGTCCGGGGCCTGTGGTATGGAAAGGCTGACCTGCCAATAAAACTCTAGAAGAAAAAAAAAAACCTTTTTCTTTATAAACCAGGTCCTGAGTTATTTTGCATAATTCTTAGATTCACCAATTTTGAACTTTTCCGCCTAACTAGTTTCTTAGCTCTAGCCATATGTCTTGAGTTGTGGTGCTACAGGAAGCAGGTCCCCTTGGATGAGCTGCCACTGGGTGGAAAACATTCTGACCTTCATTGGTCCGAAGGCAGCTGCAGTCCTGAACGGCATTGGATCAGTTTCCACACTCTGATTAGGCAGCTCTGGGAAGCAGACCACTAGAGTCCTTTGTTCATCTAAGCTGTCTGCTAAGTGCAGTGGTGGTATATGGATAGCTTTGACTAGGGTGAGGGGCATGTGGCTTAACCGGTAGAGGGCTCACCTACCTGGATGAAGGCCTGGGTTTGATGTCCCAGGAGGCACCTGAGAGCTGGAGACAGGAGGATAAATTGAAAGGTCACCCTCAAGCTACATATCAACTTGGAAGCCAGCCTGGGCTACAGGAGACCCTGTCTGAACTAAAAGGACTGGGATTAAGAAGATGGGGGAGGCCTGGATAGATGGCTCAGCGGTTAAGACCATTGTCTGCATTTCCAGAGGTCCTGAGTTCAATTCCCGGCAACCACATGGTGACTCACAACCATCTGTAATGGGATCCGATGCCCTCTTCTGGTGTGTGTCTGAAGACAGTGGCAGTGTACATACATACATACATACATACATACATACATACATACATACAATCTTAAAAAGAAAAAGATGTGGGAAAGATGAAGATTTGGAAACTCTTCAGAACAATGGATTATCACCTCTCCAACCCAAGGGACAAACTGGTTTTTTTTTTTTTAATGCCTGGGATAATTCTGCTCACATTTCACAGCCATTGTATGGTATGAATGCATAGCATTAGTATTCCAGTCTATGTGGAAATTGGGATCCACTCAGTCCCCTCCAGTCCTTATGGCCAGCTGAGCTCTACCGTGAAGCTCCCTGGTACCACCTGGGAAGGCTCTGCATCCATTCTGTGATGCAGATTTCAGTATCTGGAGCTTGCAGCAGCACCACAGGAAATCCAAGAAAAACCAAGGGAAACTATTGTTTTGTGTTTTCCCAAGGGTCCCCACCCAGTCCTGGCCACTGAGACACACAACACTCAAGAGTCATGCCAGGCCCCGGAAGACTGTAACCCTCACAACCTGTGTTTGTTCCTACTGATTAAGATCATGTTCTTTCATTGCCTTTAAGTTATTTTTTATTCTAACATCACAGCAGCCGAGTCTTTTATAAAAACACAATCTAGGGCTTGGGGCCCAAAAGCTTAATATGTTTTGCCCTGTCATAGTCTTCAGTTTATTTGTAATGTAAATCCCATTTCTGTTCTGATCCTGGGTCTGTGCCCAGCTGCCAGCCTTCCCAGCTGGTCTTCCCAACACAGGTCTATAGGCAATGACTAGGGTCACAGTTTTAACAAAAACCTAAACAACCTCCATCAGAACCAGCCCCCTCCCGCCTTGTCTCGTCAAACTCAACACGAAGTCAAGTCACAAGCCAATGGATGGGGCCGTTTAGATTTGCAGACTCACGGCAGATGAGATGGCTAGACACGCATGTGTCTTTTAGGGTTGCCCTATGAAAAGCTAACAAAAGGGTGACGGTCCCTAAACATCTGCTTGGGGAGGAGGACATCTGCCCATGTTTTTACCAGCCATTCAGTGTTTGGGCCCATGCGTTGAAAAGAGCTGCGGGCCTGGGAAGCAATAGTTCAGAGGCAGCCAGTTGTTAGACCGCCTTTGTCTTAAGGAAGCCACCCATTAACCGGAGCGCCATAACTCGCAGGGAGCCAGCTGTCAGAGCCGTGGCACAAGCCAGTCGGCGGGTGGGTGGGAGGCAAGGGGAGGAGAAACTGTGGCCAGATTCCCTTTAGACACCTGAGCCCGACTGGCTTGGTAACCCGAGAGTTTTCATCCTCTTTCTAGCTCTATGAAAGACCCCGGAGCCCTTTTCTGCTGTCCACCCTTGGATACACAGCAGGGACATCTCAGGGTTCTGCTTCCCCGGCTTGCAACTCCTTGAGAGCTGGGCTGACTTGCGCAGCCCTGCGCTGCGGCTTGGCTGGCTTGGCTGCTCTGATCCAGCGCTCTGCTTTGAAATCTACCCCCTCCTTTTTTTTTTTTTTTTTTTTAAACCAGGTATGATGATGTCAAACGTGATGCTGATGCTACAGTTACAGACACAGCCCCCGCTGGCGCAGCCTCTCTGATTCTCTCTCTTCCTCTCCGCGTCCAGCGCTGGGCTTTTTCAGACAAGTGCATCTGCTAACCAGGTCACATTTCAGCCACGACCCACCCTCCGTCAGTCACTGGAGTCAGACAGCAGGAGGAGGGCTGAGGAGGACCGCAGCGCTTCGCCAGCGGCGCGGTGGAGGGAAGGACATCAAATCCTGCTGAAGTCCAGACGCCCCCAGGTCCAAGCCCAGACCACGATGCGCGCTCCGGGCTCCGGGCCGCTGGCTCTGCCGCTGCTGCTCCTCGCCGCGGTCGCCTTGACTGAAGGCGACGCCAAGGGGCTCAAGGAGGGCGAGACCCCCGGCAATTTCATGGAGGACGAGCAATGGCTGTCGTCCATCTCGCAGTACAGCGGCAAGATTAAGCACTGGAACCGCTTCCGAGACGTGAGCGGCGGGGCGCGGAGGGCCGGGCCGGGCGCGGGTTGCGGGAGGGGAGGCTGGGAGCAGAGACCCCGCGCGCGCTGCGAGCCGCCGCCGCGTGTCGGAGCCGGAGCCTCTCGGGCCTGCCGGGCTAACTGCGCCAAGAGTAAACAACACCGAGAGTCCCAGCCCCGAGCCCCTCCGGTGTTCCCGTGGCCACCGGCGTTGGGATCTTCAGCCCCGCAGCCTCCCGGAGTGTCCTAGACGAGAACACGCTCTAGGGGCGCAGGCTCGCGACGGGGTCTGCCCGGTGGCGTGGAGCGGAGCAGGAGTGCGGGATGTGGGGCCCCGGGCCCCGGCTGCTGCTGGGCCCCGCCTGTCCCCCCACCCCCACCCCGTTACCATCGGTCCCCAGGCTAGGCCCCTGCCGGGTGAATGCTGCAGACTGCACACACCGGTCTTGGCAGAGGGAGCAGATCTGGGTGGGGCCGGCAGGGAAGGTAGCGGCCGCGAGGGTGTCCTCCGTCCCCACCTTGGGCTTCGGAAGAAGGCTCAAGGACTGAGTGGTGGCCTGGGCTTTGAGTTTGGGGAAGGGTTCTCCCGACCTCCTAAGAGATGGTGGAAGGCGTGTCCATAATGGGGCGCCTGGGGGGTGGAGGGGCACAGTGAAAATGCCCGAGGCTCTCTCTCTCTCAGGGTGGTCGCCAGAGCCAAGCTAGGTAGGCTTGTTTTCCCGGACCATGCTCGGCGGGGGAGCAAGGGGAAACATCCTTGGTCCAGTGGGCGTGAGAAGCAGAAGCGAGAGCCCCAGGAGCTGGGCTGGGGTCCCTGGCGGACGCCCTCGGCTAGCCGACTTAACCTTGGGCTAAGCTTTGCGGGTGGGGGCGGGGAGGAGGCTGCGGCCCGGCGGGCGCCGCAGCTCTGTTTACCCGCACCTGTAGATCAGGGAGGGAATAGGAGGCGCGTTCCCTCCCGCAGGGCAGCCACGGCCGCCTCGCAGATGGTGGCGTGGGCAGGGGTGAGGAAGGGCGGGCGTGGCTGCGCCCTGGGCACCTCAGAAAGCCATGGGGTGGGGGTGAGTCCTGAGATGTAGAGCGCCCCTCGATCTGCCGCTAGCTGACGCCCTGACCTCGGAAAGCCTCCTCTACGTTGGGTTCTTAGTCCTCATTCCCCAGACTCTCTTGATTTTTTGATCTAACTAGTACACACCACGCCATGACTGTTCTTACTTCTTAAACTTCGAGCATCCACAAGTTTTTTTTTTAAAAAAGATGTTTTTCTATTCAACAGTTTTATTCTGTTTCAGAATAAAGAGAGGGCTTGTTTTAATATCGTAAGGTACACGGCTGATAAGGCAGGTTGTTACTGAGAGAACAGATACCCAGTCAGTGACTCAGGGGGCTGAGGAAACGCATGAATGCTTACTGTCAGAGCAGGAAAAAAAAATGGTATTTATAGTTTTCCCCCCTTGAAACCGGTCGGGGGGTATCTGTTTAGACATTATTTTTGTAAACATACACAAGGCACCCAGACACACCATGGGAAGAGGCAGAGGTTCGGATGTTTTTGTTTTCAAAGTCAAAGTGACATAATTCATTAGGAAAGGGAATGGGCAACTCCAGGCATCCAGGCCCCAGGACCACCTAGTGGGTCCTTGTTCTCCATCTTTGCCCTACCAAAGGCCTTCCCCAGGCACCTGCAGGCCCAGCCTAGATTAGCGCAGTCTCCTGCCGCTGTCCGCAGTCCAGCAATGAGGGGGCAGAAGCAAGCTGATCCTTCCGGAAGGAATCCATGTGTCACCGGTCTGGGCCTCCCTCTGACTCCCCGGCTGCTTGATCTGCCTGGGACTAGTGAAGGTCAGAGGGAAAAAGTAATGCCTCATCAGAACAGTGAAGGTTTAAAAATCAAAGGTTCTTCTCCTCTTCATCCACCCGGCTTCCAGCAGCCAACACAGTGGGTGCTAATAAATGCTTGACTGGCTTGACCCCCGGCTTAGGGCTGCCCACCTGTCTCCCTGTATCGGTGCCACCCCTCCCCCCCCCCATCAGAAGACAGGCACCAGCATTAAATCTGCAGGAGCTGGCCCTGCAGGATTCACAGAGAGCATTGTGGTGGTGGTGGTGGGGGGTGCGGGGGGATTTGTGCTTTGAAAACTGGGACTTTCTCTAAAGTCCAGTTTTGGGGGAGCCCTGGCTGCAGGGAGATGGGGTCCCAAGTGGGACAAAGAAGGCAAGACCGGAGGGCTCAGCCTTTGGGAGTCTGTTGGCAGCTTCTCCTCAAAGGCAGAAAGGAGGCTGCTAGCTCAAAGCCACCACCTTGTGTAACTGTAGCCACACCACAGTGAGAACAGTACCTCATGGAGTTGTGTGGTACCCCTACTGTGTCTAGGGACCCTGCCTGTGCTGTACACGCTTCTTGTCCCACCCTAAGAGCTGTAGGCCTCCAGTCAGACACAGATCTTTATATCCATCTCCATCGGGCCAGCTCTTCTGAAGAATATGAAAACCTCAGCTCTTCGTGAGAGAAAAAGAGAAAAAAAAAATGTTGAGGAGTCCCTGAGGGACTGCCAGGTTGAGTTTGACTCTGGTTCATAAGTGATCACAGATGGCACAGGGCCACCTGTCTGGCTGGGTGGGAGAGGGGAAGCAAGAGGGTGAGCGGTGCTCAGGGAACAGGATCCAGGGCATCAGGGACATGCATGAGGGGCTGTGTCATTGAACGGTGGACAGATGAGCAGAGAAGATGGAGGCGATCCTGTCAGAGGAGTCAGAGGTGGGAGAGGCTCTAGGGTGTTGCTTGGACACAGGGTTCATTCGCTCCTTGAGAAGGGCCTTCCGCTTAGCTTTCTCTCTGTGAACACCAGGATTATCAGAGGCAGGCTTTGCCAGCAGAGTAATCCTCCCCTCCAGTGGGCATCGGGCTCTCACATCCTGGGCCTGTAGGTCTTTTCTAAGGCCTGCTACCCTTTTCTCCCAGGGAGGAGAGCGAATTCATGATGGAGTAGCTAGGAAGTCATGGCCTGAGCCTGGCTCCATGGCTTCCAAGTTCTCTGCCCCTAGGACAGTCTGACGCCTTTTAGGAGTCCTGCTCTTCAGTGTTCAAATATCTGAATTCACTCCCTGCAGAGCTGGGTTGGACTTGTGTGTGCATGGGTCTTGGAACACAGCGTGCAGGGCCTCGTGGTTATGGGCACTTGAGAAGAGAAAGCCGTTACATTGCATCTCTAGGGTCGGCTCCAAAGAGCTTGGCTGGGAAGGACTGACTGCTCTCTCTCTCTCTTCTTGGCTCTTCTCCGCTTTGCACTCCACTTCCATTAAATTTTAATTATATTTGTGAGTGGTGAACATAGTGCTTGGCACCCAGAGGCGTGCTGTTAATCCAGGTTGAGTCGCTGATGGCAGTGAGCTTTCCCAACATGCACTGCCTCTTGTGCCGCCTCTCCACAACCCCGGGAGACAGTTGTCCCTTGATCGTCTATCCTTGTATGGTCAAAGACACAGACACTTTGAGTAGCTTATTTGGGGGGGATCCACAGCTAGGAAGAGGCAGGGCTGGGATTTCATTGTTGTTTTGTTCCTCTGAGACAGCCTCTCGGATCCCAGGCAAGGGCTTACAAGCACACACCACTGTGCCTGGTCTTCCTCAGAACTGAGAATTGAACTCAGGTTTCTGTGCACACCAGGCAAAGCACCCTCCCCACTGGAGCTGTGTCTCCAGCCCCAGAGCTTGGATTTGAATCCAGGTCATGTAATTCAGCTTTATTTTCAGGATATCTGATGTGCCCATCTCTACTGAATCAGGGAGGGGGAAAGGGTCAATGTAACGAACCAACTGTCTCCTGGCTAGTGTCCTATCAGCTTCCAAGGCTGTCTTGGGAAGGGGCAGCATCTCCTTGGAAGAATGACAAAGGCCCAGTGTCTTCAGCAGCCTGCCGGCAGCCTCGTTGTAGCCTAGTAATACCCAAAGCGGGACCGGGGGTGGAAAGTTCTAGAACAGCTTGGCCTGGCTCAGGTTCTTCCCACAGGATGTCAAGCCTCAGCTTCAGGTTGGGAGGCTGACCTGAGTGTGTGCTAAGGAAGCTGATCCCAGGAGGGAGGGCATTCCCCACAGGCCACCTCTGTTACGGAAAGCATCAGATGGAATATTGTCTTTGGAGCTGGCCCACAGCCTTCCTCCATTCTCTATGTCAAGGATGGTACAGCGGCTTGATCAGTTCCCCCATCCGCTATGGATCTGGGTATGCATATCTTCATGGGGATCCTGGAGACTCCAGGTCGGGGTTTCGATCTGCTGACCCTGTACTAGTCTCATGTCTTTGTGTACGCCAATAGGCCAGTAACATGGACAAGCAGCAAAGGGGTTCAGATGGCTGTTCCCTCCTGCTCCCAACCTTTAAGCCAGCGATACTGTAGGGACAATCTGTGCATATGTTGTGAGGAGGTGTAGATTTGTGAGAACCCTAAAGTGGGTCAGAAGGCATTCTATAATTTGGGTTGGGAGCAGGCCAGGCCCTTCACCGGCCTCCTCCTCCACCCTGGTTTCTGACTCTTCTCCCACCAGAGGGTTGGCTTCTCCAGATAGGGCAGCGTGGTGATGGATCTAAGGGCTCGGCAGGATGCTCGGCTTGGGAAGAGAGGGATGGAAGAGGCTCACTGCTTGGTGAGGATGCAGGATGCTTCTCTTGTCTCCCAGCCATTCTCAGGGACCAGACAGCCCCGGACACCTCATTCCTCATGAGGTCAGAGCTGTCTGAGGAATGGGAGCGCTCAGGCCTGCCTCAGGTCCCGGGGCCCAGGCAGAGAGCTTTGTTTTTCTTCCTATCGGGAAGGCAGATTAACTGTGTGAGCCTGAGGCAAATACATTGCCTTTCTGAATCTCAATCTTCTCATCGGTTTAAGGTACAGGCTAATGACAGAGATCCCTGAACTCTGAGCATTCTGTGACCCTAGGAAAGGAGTGTACCCCATCCTGCCCCCTTCTCTGGCTGCCAAGTTGAGTCTTTGGGTTCAAGGAAAGGTTTCCTT